AGCTTATATGTTTAAACATATAACTATATTGTATTGAACAACTAGAAAAACAGCTACCAATGAATGAATGAATGAAACATCTTCAAATGTATCTTGTCTAGAAAAATGACTGAAGGGGAGCAAGAGTATATGTGCCTGAATCTTTTCAGCAAAGCTCAGCAAATGGATATCTATAAACCTTTTATGTTCACACTTTATCAGATGGAAGACATCCTGCATGTGGATTCCCTAAAGCATAAGACATTTCAATCCTTGTAATGCTCCAAACCACAGAGTAAGAAAAAAAAAAAAACACAGACGACAGTTTGTTTTTGTGAATTGTGGGGACATTCAATAGGCGTAATGGTTTTTATACAAACTGTATGTGCTATTGCCCTACACCAACCCTACACCTAAACAGCACTAAAGAAGCTGTCAGTGTGGTCACAACAATTAGGAGCCAAAAGATTTATACCTACTGTATCTCCAAATGAATCAGCAAGAAATGGTGCATTAAGTCTGTAATTAAGAGTTCAGAAGAATGTGTAATATGAGCTTCATTGTGAAGATCTGTGTTAATTAGATCGATCAATTTGGCAGGCGCCCACAAGTCCCACTCTCATGCGAAAAGGGGCCCCTTGAAAGTCATATATATATCCAAACTTCACCATCAAACACCACAAACAGACAACCCTCCTGTCTGGAGGATCGGGTAGATAATTTCATTTTTCGTCTCTCTTTTTGAAGAACTGTGCACCAAGCAGAATTTCAGTGTATAATTATACATAATGAGTCATTAACAGTTGTAATTCCAACCTTGTTTTAAGAATAAAGGCAAAAAATAGATTTCCCTCTTTGCTGAGAGATGATTGGCTTGTTTCATGATCTGTTAAGTATATATAGCAGCCTTGTTCAGTAGTTATGCATTCAACTTTAAACTCCAAGAAGCCAGCCAGTTGTCCTTGTGATTTTCAAAAAGAGGTAAGCTCTTACCATTTCTAGAGAGTTATAACTCATGGATATGTTACACTCTTAAAAATAGAGGTTCGGAAAAGAATGATGATTATGAAGCAATGCCAAACAAACCATTCTGGGTTCTCTGAAGAACCTTTGAAAGAACTGATCTTAAAAGAACCATTTTACTTAATATAAAGATAATTTTAATAATCTAAAAAATGTTTTTCCACTATAAAGAACTTTTTGTAGAATGGAAAGGTTCCACTGATGTTAAAGATTCTTCATGGAACCATGAATGCCAGTGAAGAACCTTTATTTTCAAGAATGTACTGACAGTATTTAATGTTTCTACACCAACAAGTTTTGTTTGTTTTTCTTTTTGGATCATAAGAGCAAATATGAAAGTGCTGGCGTTCTTGATGTGTTTGCTGGGCTCTTCACTAGCTGCCCCTGTAAGTCCTCGTTTCTCAGTTCAAGACAGCATAACAAAGTCTAAGTTTCATTTTTACATTTTCCTCTTGCTTTGCACATTTTAGGCCCCTGACAGTGGCAGCAATGAGGTAAGACCTGACAATGTCGATGACAATGGATGTTAATATATGGCCTAAAATTTTGTATAACACTTGTCTTTTCTCTCCTGCAGCAGGCAATTACTGATCATGCTAACACAGCTCTGCAGTTGATGGAACTCTACAGAATGTTAGGACATCTGCAGCAACAGGTCATTTCAATGGCACTAAAGACATAGGCCTACAGTAGAGGCGTTTAATAATAATAACAACATAATGTTATCAATGTTTTTGCAGGGTTTTGGTGCTGTTCCTACTGGTGCTCAACTGCCTGTATGTTACAAATCTGACCACTTCCTATCATTTGAAGACTTTACTGTGTGAACATACCTCAGAAGTAACCTGTTTCATGGAACTGATGACATTTTGTGTTCCTCACAGGCAGCACCTGCAGCACCCGCACCTGCTGATGTAAACCCCTCTCATTCTATCAAAACCATATATCATACACATTTTTGAGTTTTTGAGGAGAAACGATAACCTTTTGAAAACATTTTTTTCAAACTTTTTACAGGCCCAGCCTCAAGTTTCACCTCAAGCACCACAGCAGGTTAGCAACATGCTATTGCTATTTTGGCTCAATTTCAGTAATGGCAGGTTATACCATGTTATATCAGGTTGTATCACAGCAGGCTAGCAACATGCTATTGCTATTTTGGCTCAATTTCAGTAATGGCAGGTTATACCATGTTATATCAGGTTGTATCACAGCAGGCTAGCAACATGCTATTGCTGTTTTGGGTCAGTGTCAGTCAAGGCATGTTATACCATGTTGTGCCACAGCAGATTAGCAACATGTTATCAATATTTTGAGTAATTTTCTTTGAATGATTTTTGTTTCTTTTCAGCATCTGTTTATGATGTGAAGTATCATTTAGGGTACAACATAAAACATACATTATACATTGCTGTTTAGTTTTGTTAGTAGTAGTCGATAACACTGTAGCTTTTAGCATGGCTTTGCTACTAATCTTTTTGCAAAAACTACAGAGTGGTAATACACTCTTAAAAATAAAGGTTTGGTGTCAATGATTACATGAAGAACCTTTAACATCCATGGAACCTTTCCAAAAAAAAGTTCTTTATAGTGGAAAAAAGTTCTTCAGGCTAAAATATTGAATGACACTAAGAAAAAATGGTTCTTTTAAGAACCATTCAATGAAAAGTTCCTTGGAGAACCCAAAATGGTTTTACTTTGCATTGCTACAAACCTTTATTTTGCCGAGAGTGTGCTTGAGTTTGGAAATACAGTAAGTACAGCATGTTACATTGACACTGATCTTTAAACTTTTTTTTTTCAGGGCTTTTTTTTCAACCCCGCTCTTTTCGCACCCACAGGCGATGGATCAGATGAGGAAGGAGCTGTAGGTTATTTCATCTTATCAAAATACAAAACACACATTTTTAAACATTATGCACTTTATGAGTTCCGTCCCACTTTTCTATCTACCATAGCCACAGTTTCGTGGGTTTTACCCTCCCTACGGCTACCAGCCTGCCCAGCCGGCTGCTCCGTTGAACTCAGATGAGGCCAAAGTGGCAGAAGAAGCAGAGGGTGCAGAAGCAGCAGAAGCAGCTGAGGCTGGAGCCGAACCTGAACCTGCTGGAACCGCTGCAAATGTTGATGCTACTGCCGTAAACGAGATCGCACCCGTGGATGTTGCCATAGAGGTTCCTGTTGAACCTGTCATTGCTGCTGTTGTTCCGTCTCTCATCCCTGAGGTACCAGCAGTCGCTGTGGAAATCGACACCACTTTGGTGGGGCCTGATGCTGCTGCTGGTGCAGAACAGGTGTTGGTGGCTGATGCTCCTGATGCTGCTCTGCCAGTGCAGTGAGAGAGATTATCACAAGCCCCGCCCCCAAGATCCTAACCAATCAATCACATCGCTGACATTAAGACCACACCTCTATGGTCTGAACATTGTAGCACAGGGACTTGGCTAGACAGAGGGGGTGTCTACTGGCTTGCTGGAACAAAGTGTGGCACATTCCTGTTGTGTTGTGTGTGAAAATGTTTCCTGGCAGATGACAATTTTCATTAACCTCACTGTAAGAATTGAGCCGATACTGCTGCAGACAGCGTTAATTGTTATATGTCTTCTCTTTCAGTTTCTTAAAATAAAATGCCTTTTGTCTTACTGCAGTTAAAGGCCTCTTTAATCAACTGAAATGTAACTATGTAACACTTTGGAAATAATAAAAATGGACAAAACATAGTTTTGTGTGAAGAAACCAGTCACTAAACGCGCGCATGCGCGCACACACACACACACACACACACACACACACGCGCACACACACATATAATCTGAAATACAAGACAAAAACAAAACAAAAACAAAACAACAAAATATCAATTTTGTGTGAAGAAACCAATCACTACCATTGCACAAAATACATAAAATACTACTAGTAGTAGTAATAATATAAAGACCTCTTTAATCATTAGAAAAATAACTAAGTACTATAAAACAACTACATACATCTACATCTATGTATAACAAATGACTCTATACAAAATACATGTTTACACACACACACACACACACACACACACACATATATATATATATATATATATACAGTATATATTGCCACAAAAGGACCAGCTGACATCATGTCAGTGATTCTTTCATTAACACAGGTGAGAATGTTGATGAGGTAAAGGCTAGAGATCACTCTGTCATGCTGATTGAGTTAGAATAACAGACTGGGTGGCTAAATTTTGACCTTAATCCCATTGAGAACTTGTGGTCAATCCTCAAGAGGCGGATGGACAAACAAAAACCCACAAATTCTGACAAACTCCAAGCATTGAATATGCAAGAATGGGCTGCCATCAGTCAGGATGTGGCCCAGAAGTTGATTGACAGCATG